AAAAAGAAAGGGAAGAGAAAAAAGAAGAAAAAAAAAAAAAAAAAAAGAGGGGGAATCGAACGTTGCTCCAGAGGAGGCAGCTGATGCTGCTGGTCACTTAGAGGATCCCTTATCGAAGAGGTGGACAGCTACTTGTAATCGATTGACTCCTAGTTTAGCTCAACGGATTAAAGTAAACCATCTCATTCATTCATTCTTTCTTTCCAAAAGTTAATGATAACCTTGGTTTTGTTGATGTGATTTCTTTTTTTTTTTTGGTTTTTTTGGGGGGTATAGGAGGAATTGAATGCATTTAAAATGGACGAAATGGAAGTTCATCATTCTTCGAGAGTTCATACTCATTTCTTTGTGGTTTGTTTTTTTCTTGTCTCTTTTTCTCTTACCAATAGGTTTAAGTTTTGTGAAAACTGATGTGTTGATGGGGTTCTTTTTTTTGGGGGGGTGGAAATTGGATTGGTTGAAAACTTTTTAGTAATTATAAACCCTTTGATCAAAATTTGGAACCAAAAAAAAATTCATTCATTTATTCATAAACTTAAAAGAAACTTGATTTTCTTTTTTCTTTTTTTTTTCTTCGAATTTGATTGGATTTTTTTTATTTTATAAGTTGGTTTTTCATGTTTTTTTTTCTTTTCTATATTTTAGAACACTTGAAGAAAGAATGAATGAAAATTGACAAAAGAGAGAAAAAAAAAATCACTTATTTATTTATTCAAGCTTACTGATTTTTATGACGTTCGTTTCCGTTTAAGAATAACGAAAAAGATCTCTTACTTTCTGATTTGGGTTTCTTTCTTTCATTTTTGTCTTGATTTTTTTTTCGGTTCTTTTTTTTTTGATCAACTCGATTCTGGAAACACTATTTCTCTATCTCTTTCTCTCTTCTTTCTTTTTTTCATCTCAAATTTGGCTCTTCTCTCTCTCTCTTTCTCTTAGTTTACACATTTTATTTTCTTATGGACTTTTCTGGTTTACAACTTTTCTTTCTTTTTATCTTTCTCTTTGTTGATTTTGGTTGATTTTTGTTTGATATACATCTTGTGATTTTTCATTATATATAGGTTTTATTTATTTATTTATTTTGGCTTTTTCTTTTCTGACTTTTTTTTTAGATTTTTTTCTTTTTTTTGGTTTTTTTTTTTAGATTTTTTTTATTTATTGATATTTTTTTTATTTACACCAAAAAAAAATTAAACTTGATCATCTAAATTCCCACAAAAGAAAGTAACCTTCAAGAAAGAAAAATTGATGGGAAATCAATTCTTTTTATGAAAAATGAATGAATGAATGAATGTTTATTTTAACTTTGGAATTGAAACTGGTTTTTGTGTTTTAGATTAGAGTTATATATAAATACAACCAATAGATTTAAATGAAAGAAAATAAGATATTTTAGAAAAATGATCAGTTTGGATTTTTTTTTCTTTTTGACTTTTATTCTTTTTTGGGGAGTTTTGGTTTTTTTTTTGCTTTATTTTTTTTTTGGTTTTCTTTTTTTGTGGTTTGAATGTACATGATTTATTTTGAGATAATGAGAATGAGATTGAATTATGAGCTTATTGGTTGATGAAGAAAGAGAAGAAGAAAGAAAAAAGAGAAAGAAAAAGAAAAAGAGGAAGAAGAAAGAGACAGAGTCTTTAAAATGAAATAGATTTGATTACAGAAGTTTTGAAAATTGTTGATCACAAGTTATTTTGTTGAGCTAGGTACATAAGCCGCCTACCCAATCCTGGTAGTGTTGAGTGATTTGAATTGGATTTGGGATTGGTGCCAAAACAAAGCCAGATTCAGAAAAAAAAAGTCAGAAGTGGCTGTGGACAATTACGGTACTCAAAGTTGAGTATAGTTGTATATGGTTTTTGGTATATAGTTTTCTCACGACTATATACAAGTATCTAAAACTATATTTTCGAGGGGTAGTTTTCCCTGCTTCCATGCCACGTGCTCTGTATACCCAAATTTTCCTATCCAAATTCATACCATGCCCCCTCAATTGTCTACAGTTCCAAACACATGCACCAATTTCAACCAATCTTTGCAACGTGCTTCAAGAAACCCCATCAACACCTTTAAATTCCACTGATGCCGTCTGGAGTCTTGCTCATCCGCTAAGCAGTTCTGGCGCAACCCCCATTCAAATTGTATTGCCTTATCCTGCACACCATCCTTTCATTGCTTCTGGCTCACCCCTTGTCTTCATGTATCCCACAAGTCAACATCTTCCAGCAGGCACTGCAGCTTCTCTTCCTTCAGCAATAGTCATGCCATCTTCTATATCATCAAACACTGCTGCAACTGCACCTACAAACCCTGATGCAACGGAAGAACCTGTGGATAAGCTTAAGAAAGGATGTGGAAGTCGAAAATCAAACAATCAACCTTCAACTTCTTCAATGAGCAAAAGCAAGAAGAAAACACCAACTTCTACAAATGCCACAACCAATTCAAAGAAAACACCAACTTCTACAAATGCTACAACCAATTCAACCAGTGCTGAAGATGGGGCAACTCAGAAACAAATTTCATGGCAGAAAGAATTAAATTCAGAAGGGAAAACAATGTTGGACTTGATAGTAGAATGGAGTTGTTTAACTTGAGGTGATCAAGAGTCCTCAGGTGACGAGCAGTGGATGTGTATGGATAGCATCAATACAATCTCAACTAACTACAACAGATATTGGATGGGCCTTCCAGGAAAGAAAGAATGTTCAAGGAGATGTGCTCTGTATCTTGGTGCAAGAGGTTTTGAAACACCCAAATGGGACGGTGTGAAACAGAAGGTTATTGTTTTATTTATGTACTAGCTTATTCACAAAAGATACGACACCAGATTACCCCTCCGGCCCCGACTGGTTTACTGGAGGGGTATTCCGGTGTCGTATCTTTTGTGAATAAGCTAGTACTTTGTCTTCTGGTATCCAAGTTTCTGACTTTTTTTATCTTTGCCGTTTTACTATTTAGATCAACATTTTGGAAGCCAAATTCAAAGAAGCTGAAAGATGGTGTAAGTCAACTGGTGAAGGGGGGGCGCTACAATCCAGCAGGGTGTTGAGATAGATATTGAGGCTCACTGAGCAAAGAGGACTTTGACCAAAGAGAAGGAGGAAGAAATCAGGATGTTGGCTGCAAATACTACTAAAGGTAAGTTAGATCTCCTTTTCTTCCCAAACTGTGTATCTTTGCTACATGATTTTCGTCCACAGGTCAAGAAGAATGCTTACTAAGTTGGTGCTCCTATTACGATGTCTTACTGCCTGTGATGGGGACCAGAGCCGGGAACAAGCCTTTATACGCCGCCAAATCTGGTCCTACCTCTCAAACACCTGCAAATCCGTCAAATGTACCATGTTGCCCTCAGTTCCAACAGTCTCAAACGCAGTTCAGCAATTGGGATCCTACTCAAAACCTAGATCTGGATCCAGAGCTGTTATCGCGTATTGAAGATGCTTTGGGAGAAACCGATGAAAGTCAATCAAAACACTTGCAAGCTATGGATTGCTCTGCCAGTTCTCAATCAACATCCAAATCCAAAGCCCAACCTTGTCCTAACCCAAGTCTTTTGAAAGAGAAACCAAGCAAAAACCCGGGAAGACCCTTGTCAGGTACATTAGGTGTCCTCAAGACCATTCAATCATTGTTACTTACTAAAGCCAATTACGAAGAGATGAAAAATTTCAACAAGGCAGCAAACAGCAGCAACCAACAGATGATGGAGGAAGCTGTATTGCCATTGAAGAGTATCATCAATCTTTTAGAAACTCGATTTTCAAAACCAAGTGAGAAACACACATTAGATGATGATGATTTATCAGTTGAAGCAATTGAGAAGAGGAAAGTGAAGAAGGCTGAACAGGACCCTGGAAAGCTCCTACCAATGTGTCTGACGAAAAAAGTCCTATTTTGGACTTGTTGGGCTTCAATCTATCTGACGAAACAGGTCCGAATTTGGTTTTTGGACCAAAATGCATCTGACCAAAAAAGTCCTGAAAGTACCCAAGCCCAGGGATGCTTGTGACGAAAAAGGTCCGGTTAGGAGGGGTTGAACAGCAGACCTGGCAGGTAACAACTCTTGGCACCAAGTTCCCACGACAGTGATGTATACCATTGCGCCACAGATTATATGATTCAAAGATCTGTCATAGCAGTTCATACCGTTTCATCAGAAATTATCACTTCTTTCCATACTTGTCTATACACAAACAGAAGAATAGCGAAAAATTGCAAATTTTTCACCATTCCATATATGGCATTTCTTCCTCAGCATTTTTTTTGATACAACTCTCAGACACAAATAGTTCTACATACTGCGCAATTTTTTTTCTCGATATACCTCCAAGACACTTCATATAATCAATATTGCTACTCGACCTCCATTTTATCACCAATACTCACAATGTCTGACAAATCTATTCATCAACCAGAAGTTGCTAAACTTATGGGCAAATTAATGCGACTTGCTCAAGGATGTCCAGCTCTACCAGTTGCTACCAAAGATGATAAATTATACATGGTCTATTGTGATCCACCACGGATGGATTCTAAGGACGAGGAAGACGGCATATGGATTACAGTTGACAGAAAGCTCACGGCAACATTTGGTATAGATGTCATCAAAAAGAATCTCATGCAAGGCTCTCTAGGAATTGAGTTGGCTTTGAAATATCTCAGCAGGGCCCGCGATCACCCAACCTGGACAGCCAATTCAGAGCATCTCCTCAAATACAAGATGGAGATGATCGCGCAGGAATTGATAAGTCAGTTTTCCCCATTTTTTTTATATGGAAAGACCGAGGTCTGATGAGATTTATAATGAAAAAATTATCACAGAAGCTGGAGCTTCTGATTTCCTTGAGGAAGGGCCGATATCCACTGATGAAGACAAAAATAAAGGTATGCATTGTCCTAGATCGTGTTACAAGCCTCCCACCATTGAGTGTAGGTTCATTTTATGATCTTCTTACACATAGCTAGGAAATCGAGTGATTGTATCTCAACAAACAAATCTCACGGCACATCAACGGTCATGAAACGTCGAGTTGTTTCGCAGCCTGATGTTGATCCTGAGGCCTGTCACAGTCAACCTAAAAAACCAGCTGCCAAACGCCATCAACTCGATACACCTGAATCCAAAGAAGATACGATAATCATATCTTCAGATGATGAAATGACCCAACCACATAAAAGTACTAGCAAAATTGTATCGGCTCCAAAAAAACCTCCACGTGTCTTCTCCCAAATTGAGAAGGTCAATCTTGTATTGTCAGACGATGAGGTCACTCAACCACACAACATCAGTAGCAATTTTGTATCAGTTCCGAAAAAATCTATATGGCGCTCTTCCAAAGTCGATAAGGCCAAAAAGGCTGTGAACGTCCTCAATAACTGTCCTTTATCTACACCTGATGCCCCTTGCAACCAATGCAAGATTGAGGTAAATTCAGCGGACAAGGAATTTCAATGTCATTGTGGTCAAAAGACAATAGTTTTACGTGGTGGGCGCACTGAGAAAGTGCTCAGTCATTGGAAGACTAGTCAGTCTTTTTTCTCTTTTCATATCCTCTTTCACCTCACTGATTATAATTACTGTATCAAATTACAGAGGCATGTACACAGAAGACATCTACATTACGTTCAAATGCGGTGTTGGTTGGATTTCTGGCTAAATCAGATGGAGACAAACAACAGGTCAAACGCGGCTTTGTTGAGATCAATTGCCCTGGTCTCACCGATGCTACATGGGATCGACCACAAGCAAAACACTCAATCCGATATTTTCTTGAACATACCTGTAGTATCTATCGGGGAAATAATCAACACCGCATATGCCAAGAGCTTTTTGGGAAGGATGCTAATGAAAAAACTCTTTCACCCGATGAAAAAGCTCGATTGATGACTACACTCGATGCTCGAGCAATATGGGAGGTCAAACGTCATGGAGCACGCAGTGCTATATATTCTCGAAGCTGCACAACAAACCTGCTGATAAAGAAAAACGAGAAAGTTCGAAATTGCTCAGAATGTGAATCTCTCAAAGGAGTCCGTAGCTTGATAAGTGCAGTCAATCATGAATATGCTGATGAGGATACTCTCAAATTTACAACCGATCAGCTCATGGAAACAGATGTACACCACGCAACATTTGTTCAGTTTAAAGATCTTCGGATCTGTAAAAGCACACTTGAGTCTTCACAGAATGGAGATTTTCGCGAGTTTCTACACCATGTTTCAATCTTAGCTGGCAAGGGTTTATTCAAAGATCGTGAAGCGGTTCAAGGGTTGTTCAAGAGTGTTGCTGTGCGAGCGGAGCGTGAGCTGGGGGGCAAGTCTCTCCGAGGAATGCGGGTCGATCCGTATCTAGACGACTGCCTCACGACTCTAGGAGCAATGAGTCGCAGTGCACTCAATCTTTTTAGCAAGACTTTTGCAGGTCGAACAGCCCAAAGTCAACGTATGATTGAGGCGAAAAGTGGAGGAAAGTTGGAACCCGAAATACATCCAGCCAACTTCCATCAAATCGCCAAGAACCTTCAAGAGTTGGGGTACGCTGGACCAATCTCAGCTGCTTCTGATCAGACAGTGTGTGTCAAGACACTGCGACATCATAATCAATGTCTAGTTGGTGCGGAGGGAGGCGACAAGCCATTTGAAAACGATGAAGAACTTAAGATACTTATGAAAGACATAGTTGACAATGACAAGTTATGTTCAAAGGTACATTTTTACTATGATTTGTACCTTATTTGTCCAAGACACTGACATAATATCTAATTCTCCATATCAAGATTCGAGCTTACACCATCCAGGTGCCGTTGCCAAATATTCCAACTTATGTAGTAGCTCTCATAGCTAGTTGTTCAAAGGAAGGAGCAAAAGATATCGCAGACGAGCATGCAGCTGTTATTGATCTGGCACACAGATCTGGAATCATGATCATTTCAATGGGAGCTGATGGTGCTGCCACTGAGATATCCGCTCAAAAAATCCTTGCTCAAAAGACTGATAAATATCTCACATATACAAAATCTAACTTACGAGTACATGTCAAAGTGCCTCTGTTTGGAAATCCTCCTCGCCCAGTTGTGGCTGTGCAGGATCCTAAGCATGCTAGAAAGACTGGAGCAAATCAACTTTTATCCGGTTCGCGCTTGCTTGTCATGGGAAAGTATACCATCACTATCCAACAGCTTGCAGAGATTCTCAAGATGCCCAATAGTCCTCTTCTAGCAAAGGATGTATTTGATAGTGATAAGCAAGATGATGGACGAGCTTTTCGAACTTTATCTGCACCTACTCTTTCCGCCTCGCTTTGCCTTGAATCATCTACAGGCTTGACAATTTTTCTCTTCATCACTGGCGAGTTGGTCGATTCTTGGTTGAGTAAGACTATGGGACACCGAGAGCGCATACGCTCTGCATGGACTGCCGGATTCTTCTTACGACGATGGAAAGGCTACCTTCAAAAACGCGAGAAAGAGACAAATGGTATCATGAGTTTTCATCTTAACTGCATCTCACACGCTAGTTACAAAATATTCTCCAGTCTGCCCGTTTCTCTTTTGGGTATGATCATATCGTATCGAGACTACTATCCAGACTATCCATTTTGTCCTTGGAAGCATGGAACTGAATCATGCGAACATGTATTTGGATGGATGCGAGTACTTTCACCTCGCTTCTCTGTCCTTGATGCTCGGTTCATGATGCCAAAGATTCATGCAGTGGTTAAAAGTGTAATGAGTGGCAAAATAAAGATTCCTCCTTCCAAACATATCCACTCCGGTTATCAATATGCTTTTGGCGACGAGGGAAGCTTAGAAACAATCAAACACCTTCGGACTTACCCAACTAATGCTGAGATCTCTGAGGATCTGACCATTGCCAATCAAATTGCAAATAGTCTAGCTCATTTAGCAGGGATGGGTCCATTAGATCCCAAAGATGATGACTTACCCGCTGAGGAGGATGATCTACCTTCTGATGATGAAGACCTTGGTCCATATATGACTGATAGTTCACCTGGTACGTGCATACGGGGTCTTGAGTACTGTAATATACTTGGTACTGACTTCAGCCTCTTATCAATTCAGACATATCAACATGCGCAACTAAAGACTACCGTGTTCATTACGCTTCCAAGGCTGGAGACTTTTCCGAGGAGGTTGCTTTTGCCAAGGCTGCAACATTAGCAAAAGAGCAGAATACACTTGATCTACTACTTGATCAGGTGCCTGAAAATTTCGAAACCAAAGCGATTCGGAATGCAGCCATGTCTATCAAAAACTTGATGAATCCATCTGGTATGTAGTTCCCACAGCTTCCTTGTCCGGAATCAATATGAGTAAGTGAGTTTCTGATGGGCGCACTTCAAAAAGACCAATCAGGTGCAAGTATAATCAATGAAAGGTATTTGAAGCTGGTTGAATCTGGAAAACTACATACCAAGAATCTCATTCACCTTCGAACTAAGCATGACAGTCAGGTTGCTCGCCACAAAGGGAACGAACGAGCTTTGACCAATCCTGACGACTTGAGACTGGAAAGGACAACTGTGGATGGCAAGATGAACCCAAGCGAGTGCTCCAAGGCTATCTCTGTATATATGAAGAGTTTTGTCAGCACACCAACTGGTGCAGCGCGTAGACACCAATGGAACATTGATGTCAAGCTGAATATTAGTGGTCTTGTGACAAACACATCTCACCACCGAGAAGTTGACTTGCAGCAGCTCTTTGATGGGGGATTGATTACAGTTGAAAATCCTATCGAGCCCGGCAAATTGCTCTTAGCAATCAAAAATCAAGTAAGTCTCACTTTTTGAGCGACTTCTTCTGCTCAGATGGTTGTCCTGTCCAATACTAACCAAATTGCTTTTGAAGCAAATGCTTTTATGTCGCACGGTGATTGTGTACGAGTATGTTTCAAAAAAACATGCTTTTGTAACAAGTGCAAGCTCAAGGAAAAAATTATCGCATGTGGGTGTTCAGGTCTTGACTTACAACCCAGCATGGCCTGTTGCGATGCCCACTTCTCATTTATACCCACACAGCTGGACATTCAGCCTTCTGGATGCAGTTGACATCATCTATGTGTTTAAACCTTCAAATGGTGCAAACTTCGCATCAGTTCTCAAAAGTGAGGGGAGTTATTCAGTCCGCTCAGTGGTTCGCGAGATGTTTCTAAGCATCAAGATGGATCAGTTGGTCAAGCAATACGAGGATGAATGACAACGTCAGCTGGCCACTAACCCAGCTGATAAAGAGGGGGCTTAGTAAATGTTGTACCTTGGTAGTTTTTTAAAACATACGTGTGGATGGCCCAGTTCACGCCCAGGAACTGGAAAAAATGAAATATCATGCTTCTTTATTGGGCTTTTGACCGATCCGGGCGACTTTTGGCCGGTCTTCGGGGCTTTTGGCCGGTCTTCGGGGCTTCGGACCGGTCCTCAGGGCCTTTTAGGTATCTGACGAAAAAGGTCCTATTTGGGATTTTTTTTAAAAAACCCAGCTTAGCCTGCTCCAAAGCTGGGAGACTTCTGACGAAAAAAGTCCTAATTTGGCTAAAATTTATTAATTTTCCAGAAAAAATTCAAAAAAAGTCCTAATTTTCGTCAGACACATTGGTAGGAGCTTTCCAGGGTCCTGGCTGAACAGGAAGAACTGGAGCTACTCAAATTGGAACATGAATTAGATCAAGAGCGTCGGGCCTTGTCTGAGTGCGAGGGATCGGGGTTGTCCAAATTGGAGCTGGCTAAAGAAAAGACCGATATGATTACCAAATTTTGCTCAGCTGGCCTTTCACTTCATGAGGCTCAAGAGATGGCTCAGAAGATTATTGATGGTCTGAAATAATGTGAATAACTTCATTTTTGTTTCCCCTTGATGATGAATAAAGAAATTTTCTATTAAATAGACTGAAGAAAGTCTATTATGTTTGCAAGGCAATAGCTGATTTGTATATATCTCTCAATATATATCTATTGATTTAGTCAATAAAATTGTTAATGACCATTTGATCACTTCAAATACAAATTTTTATCAGAAATTATGGAAAGCTTGAGACTTTAATTGGTCATCAGTCTTCTTGTGTGATGTGACTCAAAATACTTACTCTTATAGTGAAATGAATCAAAATATGTGTTGTCTATGTTGCCCCAATTGTGTCAAAGAAACATTTGAATTTCACACTTAATTTTATGAGTCTTGCTACTCATCAGAGAGACTCATCAAAGGTGTGTTAGATGTTATAGCCAAAATAACTTCAAGTGAATTTCACAATCAATCAAAAAATCAAACATTAGGCCAAACAATTACAATTCAATTTTAAGAGTTTTCATCTTAAACCACAAACAATTCCAAGATAACTGAGATAATTTGGAGAGATTTCATCTTAAACTACAAAAGATTCCAAGTAAACTGAGATTGGTTTCTATGCTCTTGATAATGCCTAAACTGTTGCAGGAGCTCATTTCTTCTTTGATATGATGTGTTTTGATCCTCATAGAGTGGCTCATCAAAGTTGCGTTCATCATGATATTCTTGATGGGGTTCCACATCGATCAATGATTCTTTGAATTTGATTGAAAAGTTATGCAGGATACAGCATACCTTACTCCAGGTAACAGCACGTTGTGCTGAAGGTACGTGTCAGCCCTCAAGCTTTTGCGGAGCAAAAGCCAGAAGAGCTTCAAAATAAAAATATATATAAATTACAAAAAAATATAACGTCACCTTGCGTCTAGTTTCAAAGACGACACAATAAAACATTCCTTAGTATTTTACATGCTATTTAAATAAAAGATATACACTTGCGTCTAAAGTGTAAAAAACGAAAGCAATAAAAAACGTAGATATGTGACTACCTTCGAACATAGAAGAGCAGTGACATAGCTTCAGTAACTAACACTACACAAAATATAATATTTTCTGGGCAGAAAATTAAATTATTGATACACAAAAATATTGAGAGGCCAGGAGAAGGGCAAAAAATAAATAAAAATATGCATCTTGTTCCCTGCGGTGAGAGCTTCACTCTCCATATTTTTCCATATTTTTACAGTCTGTATTGATAAGTGTACTAACAATAAACCTTCATAATCATCCAATTACAACCTGTAACAAGCACTGAAATTTGGCTCATTAGTGTTTAGAGAAACTTTTGATTTCTGAAAACACCTATAACTTTGTCAAATCTGCCTCAAACCACTCAATTTTAAGTGCATTAGAAAGCTGAACTCTTCACCTCGAACTTTCATAAGATCAAGAACTATGTAGCTAGTATGACAATCATTCTATGGATCTGTATGTACAAATGTATAAAAAAGAGTGATATCTTTTTTAGCAGA